GGACTTCTGAGGACACCAGGAGCTGATTCAGAAGATATTTTTTTGACTGGACGGGCTGCTGGACCTTCACCGGCCAAGTCAGCAGACCGAGCCACAGCGACGTTCTTCTCTTTCTTCAAGCACTTAACAATAAGCAGACGTGAGGAAATAAGATGCCTGAGGATGAAATATCTGTTTAATTAAACCGTTCTGATTTTCTTCCAATACCTGCCCAACCCGGTTTCACTGTGTGTGAGACATGAAGTCATCGTGGACTGAGAGACACGTGGATGTGTCACAGGAATAGATCAAAGCTATAAAATGTGCATCCATCATGCTGTGAGAAGCTGATGATCATGTGTTTAATGTCTGTAACTTGTGTTTATTGAACACTGAGCAGCTGTCTAATGATTCCTTTTTGTATTTTGTACACAGTATACATGATTTTACTAAATAAATCAATAAATGAGCTCATTGTTTTCACTGTGTGCGTAATCTGATGACCTGTTTTCTCCACTCGGTGAAACACGTCAGCTTTATAAAGAAGATGTTTAAACAGCGAAACCAGTGTAAACCCTGTTTTGTTTCCCATTAAGAGCTTAATGTGTGACACACAGCAGCTGCAGCACTCTGACATAACACTGCGATTGCGACAGCGTGCAGCGTCTTTGTCTTTTAATCACTCGCCAATTTGTGGCATCCACTGTTTTCTTTGCTGAAGTGCTCTGTGGTCTAAAGAATGGAGGTGGAACATGATATACAATTTAATGAATGTGATCTTTCCAGTGTGGAGCTTCACAAAACCGAACAATTTCTAAAAGCATTTCCAAAGAAATAAAGAAGAAGCTGCTGCAGTGTCGGATACGGTGCTACACGCTGCCATAAACCCACCTGTCAGGCCGGACCAGTCCAGGACAGGAAACGTGTGAGGTAACTGGCAGCCTCTCAGATACACGATAACATTATTCAGCTCACATTTAGCTGGTGTAGGAACTGAAACCTCAGCACAAGAGTCTGTGGTTTCATTTAAATACTACAGTGAAAGTCAGGGGAGCTACAGCAGAAGTCACGGCCGGGTGACGGACGGGTTCGCTGCTCAGAATGTCTGGAATCTGTGAACAATGTCAGAAACAAGGAGTGGAAGTGCTTCGAGGAGTGAGACGAGTCGCAGGGGAGGAGACACGAGAAGAATCAGAGCTGCTGAGAGCTCAGCAGCAGTACTGAGAGACGAACTGGAGGTGAGCGTCACGATGGACTGAGCTTCATGTGTTCATCTGACAGACGACTAATCAGCTCATCTGTTTTCAGGGATAAAGCTGCAGCTGAACGGGAAGTTTTTTTTATCAGTGAGGAGAGAAGTGGAGCCATCAAGACTGACAGCAAACATCCAAATATCCAACGTGTTCTGGACGGCTCCTCTCAACATGGATGTAGTTTTTGCCTGAAGGATGAAAGAGATGATCCCTTGAGTTGGCCGGGGATGGTCCACTGAACTTTGAGAAAGTAACTCAGAGACAAACTAGGCTGTGATCATGTCCAACTCTCAGGAACAGAGTCTGAATGAGAACGTGGTTTTCCTGCCAGTGGACGAGTCCTCCCCAGAGTTCCTCCACTGCGAGAGGGAGCGTGAAGCGGTGGAGAGGCTCCTGAGCTCAGGACCAGAGGCCTTCTACAGCTCCGTCGGCACAGAGCGCTCCGGCTGCTTCCTGTCTTCTGAGGAGGTCAGTCAGATAACCAGCTGGGCTCAGAACTATGAGTTCAACGGCCTACAGCAGGAGAACTCAGTCGGATGCAGCTCGGCGGTGCACGAGGACTTCTGTTCCACCTACTTCCCCGGCCACACGGACGTGCCGGCCCCGAACCTGGAGCTGGGCTGGCCTGTGAAGAGCCCCTGGGTACCGCAGGGGAGCGTTACGGTCCACACCAGTCCTCCTGCCGACGGAGAGCCTCCTGTCAGAGAGGTCATCAGGCGGCACCTGCAGAAGGCCTGCCAAGTACGCAAGTGGATTACACTCCTATGGATGAACACGTCTGTTTATGAGAAGAGTTAAAATACATAACTGAGACTTTATCCTTTTATCTCTGAAAGAAATGTACTTAGTTGCATCATGAGTTAAGTTTCTGTTAGTTTCTGTTTTTGCAAATTAAGTTTCGCCCAAAATAAATATATAAAATCCCCCATCGTAGTCAGATATGAAGCAGCCTGCAAGATTATTAAACACATTTCGTTATGTTTTTGTGTTTTAGACTCTCTTTGTGGGTAAATCTTCCGTTTCTCGTGTTGTGCAGGTCATTGCCATCGTGACAGACAGACTGACAGACGGGGCAATAATCTGGGATTTACACAACGCGGCCTCCCGAGGTGTCCCCGTCTACATCATCCTGAACCAGAGGTCCATTCAGGAGACCGTCACGCTCAACAGGTTGAGGCATCCGGTGAGTCAACGCCTACACATCACATACACCCATCCTCTGGTTTATGTCTGACATGGGAATGAATACAGCAGAGGTCTTCGTTTGACACGTCGGACTGTGCAGCACGGTTCTTTGGAACACGGTGGAAGGAAGTCTTCTCAAACTTGAAACACTGCATACATGCTTGAGGGAGGTATCTCATAAACTGCAAGTATGTCTTTTTGCTTTGGCATGCTGGTGAGAGGAATGCAGCGTGCCGATTTAACCGCACATAGCTGAACTGGTTGCACAGCATTCAGTGTCGTCTGTGTTGTTTTTAAAGTAATGGAAAGCATGCTGTGCATGAAGCACATGAACCCTGAATGAGCAGAAGAGTCGGTGGGAGGATCTGGTCTGTAATGGCTAACAATCTGAGGGTTGGTTGGTCCAGTACTGGGATCCAGACTCAGCTGTGTCAGTGTAGAGGTTTTATACATGCAGTGATGGTTCTCAGAGGATGACGCCTGCACACAAAGGGTTTAGAATAGAATAGAAATACTTCATTGATCCCCAGGGAGAAATTCTGTAAGAGTTTAGAAACTTAGAGTAACGTGAGCACCGCACAATAGAAAAATAAAAAATAGATTAGAAATATTAATATGGTAGTTAGGCTCCAGCCCCCCCGCGACCCTAGTGAGGATTAAGCGGTGTATAGATAATGGATGAAATGGAATATGGTAGTAGAATATACTAAGATATAAAATGAGCAATAAAGTATAAAACATGCTGTATGAATAAGAAAAGTGTACTACATTGATAAATGCACCCTAAAGATAAATATATACAGTGAATGAGGAAGCTGAAGTCCTCCATGCAGACAGATCCCAGACCAGGATGTGAACCAGAGATCTTCTGGCTGAGAGGCGATGGTGCTAACAACCGATCCACCGTGCAGCCATGCTGGGACATTCATGGTTTCAAAATGATGTGATCCAGTGACTTCAGTGATTCCCCTGAACTTCCACCTGACCTTCCACCTGACCTTCCACCTATAGCACTATCAATACATTTCAGTCATGAAACTCTTATTATTATTATTATTATTATTATTATTATTATTATTATTATCTATGACTGAACATCTGCAAACACAACGGTGGCTTTTCATTGTAGGAACTCGAAAGCTGGTGTGAGCATTTCTAGGAACAACCTCATAATCGCACAGCGTCTACGTCAACGTTAAAACAAAACAGCGACAGCTCGTCGTTGCTGAACCTAATCCTACATCTATGAGCTCGTAGCAGAGGGTTTGAAAGGAAGAAGCAGCTTCTTAATGGCAGCAAGAGGCAGAAAAATGGAACCCAAAGCAGGTTCTTAGGGCCTCTCAGAAGAACCTGCCATCGAGGAGGTACTTCAGGGAAACAAGCTACCAGTTTCTGCAGCGAGCAGCCTGGTGACATCAGCCTCAGCTGAACATTGAGGTAGCGCTAAATGGCAAGTTGATGACGAACATTTTCACCTAAAAACGTCTCCCTCTAGACTCTAGGCAGGGTTTGTTGTTCATTTAATTTAAGTTCTATTTCAAGCCAAATCAACCAACCCCAGATCCAGTCAGTAACAGCTCCACAGGTGTAAAATGAACAATATGCTCGCTATGGATAAGAATGAATGACTCTCTTATTGTAAACACCAGGCCCAGGATTTGAAAAGCCACGCCACAGAAAATGTCATTCTAACTTCCACCTGATCGATAGCTTTGTAATAGTGAGTCAGAGGCAGTGAAGCTACTGAACCTGTTCTAGAAACAGCTCCATAGTTGATGTAAGAGAATGACGCCCAGCAGGGCTACACCCATTGTGGTCACAGTAGTACTTCAGGCATCCGGCTGGAAGGCCTTCATAAATCCTGCCATGTTTATCTTAATTAGCAGCTTTAATGGCAGATCCAGCCTTCACAGGTCAAAGCATCACTTCACTGCCTCACACACTCTTGGTCTTATGGACTTGTCTTACTCACCAGCTGACCGCTCACGTTCCATCATGGGTGAATATTTTTCATGGTGATACAATCTTGAGTTTCAACTTGTGATCCAACAGAACATGCAGGTCCGAGTTCTGGGAGGGACGAGCTTCTGTTCGAGAGCAGGAAGGATGGTGGTGGGGGAAATGAAGAACAAGTTCCTTCTGGTGGATTTAGAGACGGTGATTCATGGCAGCTACAGGTAAACACACACACACACACACACACACACACACACACACACACACACCTCGTTGGATGTATAAACAGCTCACACAGACCTGGCAGGGACGTGAACCAGCTGTTGTTGTTCTCTGCAGCCTCACCTGGACGGACGCCCACCTGCACCGGCAGCTCATCACGGTTCTGAGCGGACCGGTGGTCGATACCTTTGACAAGGAGTTCAGGATCCTGTTTGCGGCGTCGCTGCCGGTTCCCAACACGTGGAGGGTCGCAGCCAACAACGCACATGTGCCTCATCACCTCAAAGACTTCCCACCGCTTCAGTTCCACAAGCAGGTGCCTCTGGAGCCTGAGATCTTCAGCCCTCCGTCCCCTCCTGCCGACTTCCTCATGGACTGGGAGGCGATGGGGGTCATTCAGAGAGACTGCAGCCTGCCGGGCAGCTCTCTGGACCAGCACGAGGAAACCATGGACAAGGAACCGCCGCTGCAGAACAACGTGCTGTTTGATAAGAACACAGCCATCATGGACAGATTTACTAAGAATGGAAACCAGTTAGTGGATAAGAAAAGGTACCGTACCACCAACCCTCACTCTGATGGAGAGTTTAAAGACGTACACCAAGTACAGATTGGTTTATTTGAGCTTTAGCTGGTTTTAGTGCACTTTAGCTTTGATTTACTGCCTCCCAACATGTCTTCAGTTTCTTTTACCTTCTCTGACTCTTTGCTGACATCTGTTTGTGTCTGAACAGGATCTGGGAGAACACCTCTCCGGCGATTCCTGGTCCTCCAGACGAATCGACAGTTTTCAAGTGAGTCTTGTCACAACCAGTAAAAGCCACAAAATCCTGCTCTGAACTGTTTTCATTTTCTTCTCTGTTGTATACACATCTGATTGGGATTTGTGTTATTTTCACAGCAACATGGAGCCGCTGTCAACAGACCGAGCAGCTGCAGAAAGAATGAAGAGGTGACGTCCAGAAAATAAAAGACAGGATAAGTTATTATTATTAAACTGTCATGACCAAAATAATGATTTAAACAATTCTCCTGCAGGATGGAGCATAAGATAGAGAAAGCTCTTGTCAGGCAGCTCTCCATGGAGAAGGAACGACATGACAGAAATGCAACGAGACTTGACGGTGAAGCAGCAGAACATGTTCTTCTATCTGCGAAGAAAGGAGAGCGCTCTCGGAGGAGGGAGTCCATTCTGGAGGAGGAGAGCATAACAGAAGAACACATCTCCACAGTGGAGAACACGCCATCGTCTCGGGTAGGTAACTGTCCTGCTGTCAGAACACTCGGGATGATCTCAGAACCTTCTGGAGAAGTTGAAATGCATCTCTGTCCTCCCAGAAACCTGTGATCCTGAGGGTGCCCCAGTCTGAGAGCTTCAGCTCTCTGAGCGACATCATGAAGAGGCTCAAACGGGGAACTTCAACGGGATCCAATTCTACGCTGTCGGAGCGAACCCAGTCCATGATGAATCTGAGCGCTCACAACACAGACCCAAGTCCAGACGAGAAAGGAGTCCCGGTGCCGAGGTTCAAGGCCAGCGTGAGTGTGCAGCTTGTTGTGTTTCTCTGAAGGACGACATGTTTAATAAAGAGAAGTTTAGAGGTTTTATTCATTCATGCATCTGAGTGGAGGAAGCATCACCCGTAAAGGCCTGTTTCACTCTTCTTATGAACTAATTGAATATTAATTTAAGTCTACTGGTATCAAGAAGGGCTGCAGGTGTCTC